TAATATAATATAATATAATATAATATAATATAATATAATATAATATAATATAAATTAGGTTTGGCCCTCCCTGGTGGCGCAGAGGGTTAAAGCACAGCACTAAGAAGCTTAAGCCACTTCCGCATGAGTTCGAGCCCTGCCTGGAGTAAAATCACAGTAGCACTTAGTAACTGAATATACTATAAGAAATGCATTTCATGCAGATGGCCAACGAGAATATGGAAAAAATGTTCAACATCACTTGTAATAAGGAAGTTGCAAATTAAAATCACAATGAGATACCACCTCACTCCAGTGAGAATGGCATATCTTAAAACAACTAGCAACAACAAATGTTGGCGAGGATGTGGAGAAAAAGAAATTCTCCTGCACTGCTGGTGGGAATGCAAATGAGTATAACCCTATGGAAAAATGTTTGGAGGTTCCTCAAACTGCTAAAAATGGAATATAATTTAGTAATCTCACTCCTAGGTATCTTCCCAAAGACACAAAAACACTGATTCAAAAAGACAACTGAGTTCCCATGTTTACTGCTGCTTTATTTACATTGAGAAAGATATGGAAACAACCCAAATGCCCAAAAGTAAATGACTGGATTAAAAAGATGTGGCATATATACACAATGGGATATTACTCAGCAACCAAAAAATAAATAAATGCATGCCTTTTGCAGCAACATGGATGAAACTGGAAACGATCATGCTTAGTGAAGTAAGCCAGAAAGAAAAGGAAAAATACCAGATGGTTTCACTCATGGCAAGAGTATAAAGGACCAGGGGAGAAAATAACAATAATAATGAACAGCTACATACCAGAGACATTTTATAGCATGGAGTGGGGAATGGGATCAAAAATGGTGAGGGGAGTGAAATGCACTGGACTATGGTGATGGCATACTGGTGATGCCATGTTTGGTGATTTGGTAATCGGAAGCTCACAGGGATTACAACTGAGATGGGAAAAGGCACAAAATGATGTAAAAGATAAAATAAACATCTGGTGAATTTTAAAAATATAACAAATTAAGGCAAGCTTAATGATATTATTAATAAATTATCTTGTACTGAAATTTTTAAAAAGCAAATGCATTTCAACAATCAAGTGTACTTAGAAAAATGTGCTTTAAGGAACTTTAAAGAACATGTCTTGAGGCATTCATGCCACTATTTTCATTAAAAAAAAATTAGGCTTGGCCCTCCCTGGTGGCGCAGCGGGTTAAAGCACAGCCCTAAGAAGCTTAAGCCACTTCCGCATGAGTTCGATCCCTGCCTGCCCCTGAGGAGCTCCACATGGCGAGGCAGATCTCTCCTGACCAGCCAGCTGCTCCCCTCAGCAGTGTACTTTGTACATCTGCCTGTTCTGCTCCCCACTCTGTCTTTGGTGAATCCTCTCATCCTCCACATCTCTGGCCCTTACCCCAGTTCTACATGAATAAATAAATCTTAAAAAAAAAAAAATTAGGTTTAAAATTAAAAAAAAAGTTAAATATCTAGTCCTATGTTCTAAAAATTAAATTTACAAATAATTAAAGATCATTCTATGTTGCAAACCTGCCGGGTGCCCTGACTGCTAAGTTCGCTAGCCACCCGAACATAGGAGACTGGGAGATCCAAAAGAAATTGAAGCAGGAGCCTGGGGTCTGAAGTCCGAAGTCTGTTTATTAGGACTGCCCATGGATGTATATAGGGTCCTGTGCAGGAAAAAAACAGGAAATATGCCCAGGAAATGTGCCTGACGCAGTGGGTGGGGTGCATGTTTGTAGCAGACCTAGGTGCTTCTTGTAGCTTCTGCTTGATACAAAGTAGTGGGCTGCAGCTGTTTGTTTGCAGGACAGTGTGCACTGTGCTCTGTTAACTTGTTTGTTGGCCTTACTGGGGAGTGTGCTCACCCATGCACAACATTAGCCAGAGCAGACAGATGCACTTGAGGTCCTGCAGAGTTAGCTAGAGGTCCTGCAGAGTTAGCCACAATTCTAATATATAATAACTTTTGCATGTAATATATTGTGATTTGACTTCTAAAATTAAGAGGTTTATACTCTTTAGAGACTGGTAAGTTTTATCTGTTGAATTTTGTTATTTTTTTCACATGCTCTGCAAGTCAGTCCTGTTCAATTCTGGCATGCTTAATTCTACCTCTAATCTAATCATAAGTATGAACTGAATCCTGATGTACAACAACAGTTGTATACCTCAGCTTGCTGATTTCTTAACATACATAGCAAATTAAACCTTCTCCATCAAAATGTCTTGAATAATTATAAAAATGTTTTCTGAAATACTGAATTCAACATAATGGACAGACTATATTACACTACTCAGTTGCTTACTAGGTTTTCACAATTTAACAGTGTCTTATGCTTTTGATAAATTCTGGTAAACTTGTTGCTATTTATGTGTTAAAACAGATACATTTTGATTAAGAAAGTACTTAAGAATTAACTAGATGAAAAGCTGATATCTAATTAATTGTGCATAAATGCTAGGATACAATTTAAAATGTTCAGGAGACATTTCAATCATGTGATTTCCTAATATTCCCCAGTCAAAACCAAAACCCTGACAGTAAGAAAAGTGATCATGTAAATTATAATACTGTTTTCTATTTTCCTTCTAACAGGAAGAGTTTCCTGTTGGATTAAAATGAAAAGAAAACTACTTGAATCACTAAATGTTGACTGGATTGCTTCCTGAATTTCTCTAGCTTTTATCTCATTGTTTGCATAGAGAAATGTGGCTCATTTTGGAAGAATGATTTTAGAAGCTTCTATTTTACTGAACTTGTTACAGGGTAGCCCAGAGTGGACTGGGTCGCCTGTCTGTGGGGCCTCACCTGCTCGCTCACAATTCGGTTATACTGCAGATACACACAAAAGGGTCAATAACGGGTTTACTTACAAAAGGGGTAAGGAATAGGAAACAACCCAGGGATAGAGAGCAGGATACAAAGTAAATGGAATACCTTACAGCTAGGCTGACTGAACACACCAAGTCACGCGATCAGGAGAGCTGCTGAGAGAGAGCTGCTGAGAAGAGAGAGAAAGAGAGAGAGCGCTACTGAGAGAGAGAGATGCAATTGCAGCCTATTTATCCCCCAAATATCCCAGAATTCCTTCCTGCTAGCTCCTCCCTTGGGTCCTCACAGTTCTCTCCCTGGTACTACTGGGAGTTGTAGTTTCCAATCACTGGAGTAGGGTGTAGGGTCCACAAAGCTGGAGTAGGGGGTGGAGTCCATAAGACTGCAGAGTTCCTTTAGGACATCCTTCCCCTTAACAAACTGAACCTTATGACAAAACTATAATAACACAGTTAACATTGCAACAACAACAACAAAAAGAGATACACAGAACAATGGAATATAATTTAAATAAACCTTCATACCTATGTATATATGATCTATGACAAAGAATTCATGAATATAATCTCTTTAACAAATGATGTTGAGAAAACTGGATAGTTACATGCAAAGGAATGAAACCAGGTCACTATCTCACACCTTACATAAAAATCAACTGAAACTGGATTAAAAATATGTACTTTGTAAATCTGCCTATTGTTCTGCCTACTCTGTCTCTGTAGAATCCTCTCACCACCCATGAACCTCTGGCCTGTACCCCAGTTCCATACAGATAAATAAACCTTTAAAAAAATGTATATAACACTCCAAGCTACAAAATACATTGAAGGAAAAAAAAAAGGCAAAACATTGGCTTCAGAAACATCTTTGGTGATTTATCTTCAGTGGTAAGAGCAGCAAAAGCAAATATAAAGAATGAGATTACATGGTACTTAAACCTTCTGTACTGTGAAAGAAACTATTAGTAAAACAAAGAGAGCCTACTAAATGGAAGAAAATATTTGTCCTAACACATATGTCGAAGTGATAATAATCAAAATATATAAAGAACATATGTAACTCAACAAAAACAACCATATCAAAAAGTGGTCCTGAAAATCTAAATAGAAACTTCTCCAAATAAAACATACAAATGGGGGGCCCTCCCTGTTAGTGAAGCGAGCCATCTGCTTCAGTACCAGTTCGATCCCCGCCCTGGACATGATCCACATGGTGCAGACCTCTCCACTCTCACACACCAGTCCCCTCAGCAGTCCCCTTGTTGATCTGCCTGTTCTACTCCCCACTCTGTCTTTGGTGAGCCCTCTCACTGCCCCTGCATCTCTGGCCTGTACCCCAGTTCTGTGTGAATAAATAAACAAATCTTAAAAAAAAATAAAACATGCAGACAGGCAATAGGTATATGAAAAAAAAAAGTCATTATCACATATTGAAAGGGAAATGCAAATCAAAACCACAATGATATTCTATCTATCTCATGTCCCTGAGAATGTCACACGACAGAAATTTCAGAAAAAAATATAGGCAAAGATGTGGATTAAAACAAAATCTTCTATTGGATTGTGGGAATGAATATTAGTCTATCCCTACAGAAAACAGTATGGAGGTTCCTCAAAATCTTAAATATAATTTAACAACATGCGGGCCCTCACTGGTGGCGCAGCGGGTTTAAGCACAGCACTGAGAATCTAAAGCCGCTTCCGCATGAGTTCGATTCCCGCCTGCCCCGGAGGTGACCACATGGTGTGGCAGACCTCGCCTGACCCACCC